TACATGTACCATTGGAGAGCTCTGTTTTTCCTGCTGAATTCAAAAACACTAGGATCTCAATTTTTGAAAATTCTGACTTTCAGTTCATTTTGTGGTGACAGGTCACAAGTTTGGTTGGTTGGATTTTACTGATGTTGATAGTTAATTGTATTAATGAATCCAGTTAATAGTAGTTAATCGTTAATTAATAAAATCAACTTAATACTAGATCTCTCTCGCATCGAATAGATTTAACATCGAAAGTAGATGATTATATCGGTTAATGGACCTTGTGACATTAAGGAAAAAAAAAACAGTCTGCGTTTTACTCAAAATGTTTTAGGACGAATTAATTTGGATACTGTTATGAACTGCTTGCCAACAAGAATGACCTGAAATGCAAAAATCATATAAGGTTTTGATCCCAACAGGTGGGAAAGGTTAATGACAAAACGGAACAGGTACAGGTACACTGTTAGGAAACACTTCTACTTACGTTAGTGAGAATTTTATTGGCAATAACGCTTTGAAAACTACAGTATGTCAACACATTGCCAAGCAACAGCCATGACCTAAAATACAAACACTGTCCTTGTTACATGTACATTATGGTACTTCCGCATTGTTTGGAGTATAAAACTATTTTGACCAAGTGGACAACTTCACCTGCAGCAAAAAGTGTTTGTTTTCAAGGGAATATTTGACTGAGTTGCATTTTCATTTGAAAATGTAGTAAACAATGTATTTTTGACAGTGTTAAGAAAATAATAGGATGAGTATAACTCACGTACTGGCAGGGTTCGGTCTTTTTGCATGAAATACACAGTGCTCACTAAATGAGTACGTACATGCATGTCTAAATCTAACCTACATGTAAATCCAACCAGTGACAACCTCAAAAAAGTAATTTTAAGATGAACTGGGGATTTAGTGATTGAATGTTTATTTTAATGTCTAGCTGAATACAATACACAAATGTACTGGTAACATGGAAGCCATGTCCCTGTTACCTGTACATGTACATGTACTTCCACACTCCAAATTCAGGGTACTCCATTTAGCCCTTGTGAGCAAGTCTGGTCCGAGCCAATTCGGCTCATCAAGCCGGTGTTTATCTCCGGTTTCCTTGGCATGAAACAACTGAGAATATTTCTATTCCCCCTGGATGGGATGCCAGTCCATCGCAGGTTGCTTTCCCAGCTAATGCTGGTGCCCATTTATACTTCTGGGTGGAGAGAGGCAAACAGGGGTGATATGGCTTGCCAAGGGCCACAACATACTGCCAGCAGCTGGATTCGAACCTCCAACCCTATGATTGGAAGCCACAAACCCTAACCACTTGGCCACATACCCCCCCCCCATTTGGCCCTTGTGAGCCACCGGTAAAATAGGTACATGTACAATGTATTGTACCTACTGACTACTGTATTGAGCAACCTGTCAATAAAACAGGCAGGCATTTTGTCAATGTTAAGTGTAGTTTCCTCAATAATGGCATTCGTTTGCTCAAATTATTACAAGTTGTGAATGATTGATTCCATATAAATGCTCTGATCATTGCTCAGTTCTATGAAACTCAGGATTCGGCGCCATTTCACAAATACAGGGTACAGTTACAACATCTCTAACACTAAACATGTGAACAAATTTGTTTCTCTGATACTACGACAGAACTAAAACTAGAGTTTCATGTCCATGTTACTTCGGCATTTTGTTTTGACTGGATGGCAAAACAAAAACAAAATTGATGCTACAAAATAAAAATGAAAGTTTAATATACACATAAAAAAGAATGCAAACAGGTGTTAAATAATGCATTTTCCAACTTGGAAGAATGAATTGTATTTACATAAATATGTGTAGACCTCTAATATTGAGGGAAAAGAGGGAAAGTATTCAACAGTGGCTAACTGGCATTTATTAACAGTGGACTGGGTTGAATTTGAGGTACATGTATATGTACCGGTATTTTCAAGGAATGTTGCTATTTTGATCCCCTTTTGCTCTTTTCTTTCCCTTTATCTTTCCCCCATTTCCTTTTAGGTTTATTCTTGACATTAGCACCCTCTTGCCTTCAATCCCTTGTCACACCCACAGTTTCATTTGCTGTTTCATTCCTGCCATTGTCAGTCCTTTCCTGTCGGTTACCGTACTTACATGTATATATGTACTGGTACATGTTCATGTACATGTACGTGTATTAGATACGTACTGTACATTAAAGCACAGAAGTTTTTAATGTTCATGTACATACATGTACTTTTAAATTTTAAACATTTACATAATACATATATTGTTGTACATGTACATCTCAGTGTATGACAATACCATCAAGCCATTATCAACTACGCTTACTCAAAATGCCCCAAAATTTCCTTGGGGAAATTTAAGCAGCAGAGCTCAGAAACGAGGCATGTTAGGACATGTCAAGAATGAAAAGAAAAAGATGTCATCCTACATGTACATGTACACATATACACGCATGCTGTGCACTTCCCACTTTCCCACACATTTGCGATCCCAATCATGTTCAGTTAAAGTGCTTTCATGACAAACACTCAACCGTGCCCTACCTCCAGAAAAGTCTAGCCTGCTGTGCAGCTGTCTGTAAGGAGCAAAGCCCCCGTACCATTCTTGTCATGCATGAGGAACGATTTCGGTCTCTGTGTTCTGGTCAGGCATGCCACCTTGAGGTATAGTACTTCAGTTACAGGTACATTTCAATTTTAAGGAGCATCTGAACCAGCTGGAAATATGGAAGGAGTGGAGTATTTCTCCATTTAGGAAACTGTTGGGGCTTGGCCATGATGTATGTTCAGCCAATAAAAAACACTCCTGTCGGTGGCTTTCTCAAGACCATTGCTTGTTTCACTGCTCGGGAGTTGTAACTCTGTCCGACTATTCAAGTGGAAGGCTTTGACAGTTACTTCTCACTAGTTTGAATATTTAATTCTGTAATCCAAAGGTTCCAAAGTATGGAGGTTTGTTTTCTGAAGGTTTAATGCTCATAAGGTCTGATAGTCAGAAAACTGAATGTACATGTAGATTGATGGCTACATTGTCTGAAGCTTCAACTGTCAAAATCAACACTAAGGTTTGTCAGTCTGAATTGACTGAATTGAGCAGTTGTCAAAAAAGTTTTAAAATGAGAGGTCTAAAAGAAATCCAAGCCAGGTTCAGACTTTTAAACCTGGGGCATTCTTGAGATTAACCTTTTGATTTGGGAACTTCTCTAACCTTTGTACTAATAAACCTTATTCTATGTACAGTGTACTAGTATTTGGACTGTAGAACCTCATGACCAGTTAACCTCCAGATTATGAAACATTTGAACTTATTAACCCTTGGACTGTTGCACCAATGTTCGGTAATTACCAGTGTAGTCCTTAGTCCTCCGGCTACATGTAAAAAGTTATATAGTGCATTCGGACAATTTCAACTCCACACCCCCTCCTCCCCCAATTAGACAAGACAAGGCAAGAGAAACATTAATGGTCGCTTGGAAATGCCTCGGAATAAACCCCCTCTACCATCAGTGGTTTATCAGTGTTGCCAGTAATGAGTGCTTTGCTCCATCTCCCCATGGAAAATCTCCACCCCCCCCCACCCCGGGAAAAAATCCAGCTGATACAAATGATGGAGTCAGGATAAACGACCGCAATTGAAATATAATTTCAATCAGGATACATGCATGAAGTTGACGGGCCGCTGTGGTCCTGATGTCTCGATTCATATCATTCATCTAGCTTTGTCAATAAATATCAGCTAGCAATTCTGACAGGCTCCACAGTCCAGTGGTTCAGACAGCAGGAGGTTGTTCATTACGAGTCTATAACCCAAGCAAACCTGTCACGAATTTCCCTTATTCAAAAAAAAAAAGGAAAAAAGCTACCGGGGGGGGGTAACTTTTAATAAAATTGAGACGTTACCTTCCAGACCTCATACCTTCAAATGCTGCGTACAGATTTTTGTTTTTTTTTTTCATTTTAAGCTGATTACATGTAGCTCGTCTGGGTGTACACGTAAGTACGTACATGTTATGATGTACATGTACTGGACAGGTACGGTACAGTGTTTTCTAAAAGAAAAGAAAAAAACTTACAAGCATACAGTATAAAGTTAAATGTACAGTGTACATTAACATTCATTGATCCGCACTGTGCACATCTGGCATGTCTGGAAGCAAACATTTGAAGTGTCACTTGTATGGCCAAGTGTCGATATACATGTATCAGAGTCAATTGTTTTTTCTTTCATGGTGCTTTTATTTTTCAGATCACAAATGCATTCAGGACACGAGAACGTACATTTACAGTAGGACTGTACACTTTCCAACATTCTACAGACTTGAAGTTTGACAGATTTCACTCCTACATGTATCATGCCCAATGTATAAGATTGCACATGTATGCACATGTGCTGTATAATCACCTCAAACCAATAAATGCTGTTTCTGTTTTGCTTTACAAATGGATGTGGGGTTCAGTGAAAATAAGCCGGGAACCAGTCATAAAAACTCTAAGTCATGTACATGTACATGTATGGCATTTTGGGTGGTGACCCATTTCTGCTAAGCATACATGTACATGTACAAGTACCGGTACCTGCACAGTGTACAGTACATGTACATGTATGTTCTGTGTCAATAAAATTTGTGAGCTTACAAGTTGCTGATCTTGCAGAGACTGACACTTGGAGTTCACTCAATTTGGTGTTTTTGCGTACTACCGGGTAGCTGTAACAACAATGGTCCTTTGGTAGGAACCCACCACGCGCATGCGCTATTGCAGATTCATGCGCAGTTTTATGGGGTGCACTGAGCACACGTGATGCACATTCTTTGCACGTGTGCCAGGTGCGTGCGCAAGCCCAAGGCTGCAAAATTTCCCACTGAGGCATGCATGTACGGGTGTATATTTTGCCAGCAAGAGTGCACTTCAGATTCAGGCAAGCGCTTTCACATGTCCTGTACATGTAACTTTTAATTGAAGGAATTTTTTTCTGTGTGGTTTTTTGTACAGTTGTAAGAAGACCGGTTGAGTTTCATGCCATGGAGTTTGTCGAGTTCATCAAGACACCCAAGGTAGACGGCGTTGTTCTCCACCGACCATTCTACCCAGCTGTTGAGGGCACCCTCTGCCTGACGGGCCACCACTTGATCCTGTCATCCCGCAAGACCAACTCAGAGGAATTGTGGGTAAGGTAGCCCGGTTGTGTCGGTCAAGTCCATATCAAGTCTTTCCAATGAAGTTAAAATGGTTGTTTTGTGTCAAGCAACCAATGAGATTTCATCTTGACAGCCAGGAAGGTGTAGCCTGTCAGGTTACCAGCCTTGACAGACTGGAGCCCGCGATATGCTGAATTCGCAGGCCTGGAGGCTGAAGAGCACAATTTGTATTCATGTAGAAGTGGGGTTGAGAATAAGAGGTCACATGTTGTCACAGGATTGTGGTACCAATGCTCAGCGGCAGAGCTTTTGCCACACTTGCTTGTTCCATTTCAACATACCTACATGGCATGTACAGATACATGTACATGTACCTCTGGAGAGCTGTAAGAGCCTAGAGGAGAAACATTGGATACTGCATGCATGCATGGGCTTTGTCAAGTTGCTACCGGTAACTGTACATGTACAGGTATCATACATACATGTATGTACATAAATTATATGTACATGTACAGTCTGTGCTCTCAAAGGAGTTTCAGATGATCCAGGGAATGATTAGAGGTATTGACATGACAATCATGCGTAGGCATGACACACAGCACTTGATGCCAACATCATTGTTTTTTTTTTTCCATTTTATGGCTGCAGGCAGTATCACCTTAATCGTTGCATTATTAATTCTGTTCATTGGCTTGCGTTCTCACTCGGCAAGCTGCAGAAGCTGACATTGCCCCGCAGTGTAGAAACCTGAGCCAATGGCAGGCCTGCATGCTGTGACTTGATAGTACTGAAGTGCCATTGGTTCCGAAAATTGAAACCGTTCTTTAAAAATTGCTCAGAAGTTAAATGATGACCCCAAAAAATGCATTGGCCAGAAGCACGTTTGAGTGCAAGGCCTTTACAAGAATCTTGCATGATCCACCTCGAGCAGAAGAACATGTGCCCCCCCGCATATGGTAAATTGAACTGAAGCATGTTAGTAGGGGAGTGTTCATTTTATTGGTATTATTATACCATTAAGATTAAAATTAATTATAATTATAATATACCATTATAAAATTGGCATTTTATAGTAGGTTGTGAACCAGTGAAGTGGTTCCCACCCAAGGAGCCTCTGTTGCCAGGAAAATTGTACTCCTCATGGTCCCGCTGTGGGTGGATTACAGTCAGTAGGATTTAACTGTCAACATCTTTTACATAACATTCGTTTTCATCAGGATGCCAAACTGAGTGATTTACCAGAATGAAGAACTCAGTTTGCTCTTTCTTATAGAAAGTTTAAGCAAAATTCCTTGAAAGTAGCCTTGCGACTTGTGTCGGATCCAGTCACAATTTTCTTTGTTAGTGTTACCAGACAATGGCAACTTCTTTGATTTTTATTTCCCCAGCTTCTTCATAGCAACATTGACACCATCGAGAAGAAGTTTGTAGGCTCTGTGGGCCACCTAACCATCAAGTGCAAGAATTTCATGATCATCCAGCTGGACATTCAGGGCATGGAGGAATGCTTGAACATTGCCAGCTCCGTTGAGATGCTTTCCAACCTCGGTGAGTCCACAAATGAGGCCCAGGCCACAACCTTGCAGCTGTCCAACATGAACACCATATACCCATAACCGTCCTCCATGGGCATTTCCTTTGTCATTCGTGCACCCCCCCTTCCCCTCCCGATTTCTCTACCAAAGATGAGAAAGCTACCGGTACATGTAGTTACATGTACATGAAGTTTTGGTACTTTAATATATAGCATTATACCAGTACATGTAAATTCAGAGTCGTTGGCCAGGCACCGTACACGTTCCAGCATTGTGGTTATTGTCTCACTGTAGAGTCTGTGACCCTGACCTATCCGTTCTTCTACCGTCCCATGTCTGATATCTTGGAGGATGGCTGGCAGGCGTTCCTTCCAGAGAGTGAGTTTGCCAGAGTGACAGGGGATGAGTGGCGCTTGACTCATGTCAACAAGAATTTCCAGGTACCTGATTTGTCCCTTTCCTTTCAAGAAAAAAGATTGTCGGAATAAAGGCAAGATGAAAATATTAAACTCGCCCTAATCCTGATCTTGCAAGGGAATTGGAAAACATATTTTGAAAGAAAAGCAAAAGAACCATCTTGCTAAGGCCAATGACAGAGAGGGAGGGTGCTTTGTTGCCTGGCAACGGCATCCGAGGAGGAGGAGGGAAGGACCCACACTCTGCATTGTGCAATTGTTGGGAGTTGGTGTGATTGCTTTGCACACAAATGAGTCATCATGTGGATGTCAGGGGCACAGGTGGCTAAGGGTCAACCCTATCTCTTTCACTGTCACCTTAAAACAAAGTTGGTGTACAGTGTATTTTTCACCTGTGCAGCATTTGAACCCTAGATACACTTTGAATCAAAACAAGACACAAACAAATGAAAGAACAAAAGCATTCTGAAATAACTTTTTACTCGACAAATGAAGTTCTTTGAATAATTTAGCGACTCTGTTTTATAAATGCCAGTGAGTTTGTGTTGGGTCCTGTTAACAGATAGCTGAGTCACTTCCTCAACCAGAAGTCTTGCATTCATGTACCGATATCCCAACAATTACTGTGACCATTTAAGTACACAGAGGATGTGAAAGTGTGACAATTTTTATCTGCAGTAGTGGATGATGTGCATTGTATGTATGCCACCTGGGATCTGAATAGGGGTAGTTAAGGAGGCTAATCGTATGTGATACCCTAATTCGGCCTGGTGCAGTGGCCAGTCATTTAAGCAGATATTTCTCAATGGCCTTGCTCAATGGAATGTGAAAAAAATGTTCCATTGAGAAGGGTACAAACATGTTACAAAGTTTCACAAGTCAGCATTGAGGTGTACCACATACTGGTACATGTAATACTGAAAAGTGGCCATGGTACAATGTACATGTCCAGGTTTGTTTTTAAAATTCCAGATTTGGGGCTAATAATGCTTTTCCTTGGGCCGGTGCATTGCAGAGTTATATCACCTGCAAGTGGTTGAATGGGTTTTTGCAGCAGCATTCAGTCTGTAAATGCTTGATGCATTGTCTGTGTCTTGAATAATTTTTGACATTGTTTTCCCCTCCCGAGGTCTGTCCCACCTACCCGCAAACGGTGGTTGTGCCCAAAGCTGTAGATGACGACTGCATCATGCAGGCTGCTGCATTCCGTCAAGGAGGGAGGTTTCCAGTTCTTAGCTACCTTCATGCATCTAATGGGGTATGTGATTCCACTTACATTTTCAGAATTCTTTTTTGAATCACGGATTTCCCCTTTTTTATTGTAGTTGCTGATTTTTGGCTGCCTTATTTACAAGTACAATGTACTGTACACTTACATGTATTGTAAGGTTTTATAAATTTTATGGTTTAACAAAATACATGCAAGTAATTAAACATATTTGAAAATCTATTTCCCTTATGATTATTCTTCCCTTGTGCAGAGTGTTACAGAAGGTTCATTATTAAAAGTCACTTTTTACTGCAGAAGTTTTAAGTTTAGTGTCCATTTTGTTTATCAGCTTAATTTGCCTTTATTCTAACTTTAGACGGTAATTCTAAGAAGTGGCCAGCCACTTCCTGGCCCTAATGGCAAAAGATGTAAAGAAGACGAGAAACTAGTCAACTCGGCACTATGCATTGGCAAACGAGGTTACATCATCGACACAAGGTCCTACAACTCAGCCGTCAACTCCCGCTCAAAAGGTAGAGATAGTGCAGAGAGCAGGGAGACATAAGTACCAGACAGATTCTACTCCATTTAGTGGCCTTTCAGTGGCAGCTGATTCCACCACTCGCCAGTGTCAACAAAGGAGGCTTTTACAAAGAACACCCCATGTTCACAAAGGGCCGAAATATATTACAGTATTACCTGAGAATGCGTTGAAGTGAGCTTTTGTCCTTCAATAAAATATACTTCAGGGCTGCAAATTTTAGCGTTAAATATAATAACCTTTCAAAATAGATCTCTTCTAAAATAGGAAAAAAAGTTGAAAAAAAAAAAGAATTTAAACCGACAACACTAACAAGTCAGCTTAACCATTCTTTTTTTCTTCTTTTTTTTGTGCCCACAACCCCACGTAACTCGGGTAATATCGTCATATGCTTTGGCCCCATTCTAAACGGGCTATTCTCTGTAAAAGCCTCGTTTGTTAACCTCTGTGGGTAGTCAGATTGGGTGTCAGTGGGCAGTGAGTTGTTGTAGAGTCTGTTCAATTGTGACCCCTTTCCCTGGGTGATCTAGCTGTCAGTGTTCCTAAGCAAGCTACTTTACTAAATTGTACGTTGTTCATTAGATGGATGTCTAGGCTGTGCAGGCCCTGAGGTTACTTACACAGGTTATCCGAATGATCACCAGGAAGAGTGTTTTCACCCTTAACCCCTGATCTTTAAAGTTCCCCTTGAAGATTTGAGGAACTTATGAAGATTAAGAGAGGGTGCTAGAACCCAGGTAGTGCCGCATTACATGGGGCATAATGGTTCTTGAGCGCTGGAGTACAAGAATGTGCCATGGGCTCCCATTGAGTGTTGAATGGGGGTGACCCTGTTTGGTTCCATTTTAAAAGAGACCGGACTGAAAAAGTCTATTTCTGCCTGTGTAATTTCATTTGCCCATTGCTGGTTTTACTGCATTCGGTCTCTGTAGCATGGGCAAAGAGTGTGTGACCACAAAAGCCGTGTACTAGTCCCGGCATAATATTGTTCATAAGTGACTTCGTCAGATACGTGGACACACCTCTGATTGCAAGCTCCCCTTGTATGAACGGTAAAGTATCACGTTAACTTCGGGTTCCATGGTTCCATGTAACTATGTGCAGTGGGCATTGTTTAAGCTGGTGACGTTACACAAACCAGATAAAGGAATGAATGAGTCCATGAAGTTGAAATCTCAGTTTATAATCATATTAATATCTCTTTTCATAATCATAAGCAATATGTTCAAATCCCATAACTGTCATTGTTTTCTCCTTGTTCAGTAAAGAACATTCCTACATACCTGTGTTTTATACATGGAACAATCTACCTTCATATCACTTTCCTCGGTAGTCATGTCTGATAATGTTTACATTTGTTTTGTACTTCTGTAATGAAATTAGTTCTCTTTCCTTTCCATTTAATTTGTTGTTCCATGTTTCCCTTCCTCCCCTTTTTTTCTTGGTTTCTCTCTCGGTTACCTTTCCGTTTAGATTTTTATTTGATTCTTTTCCCTCCAGGCGGGGGCTTTGAGACCGAGGCCCATTACCCTCAGTGGAGGCGGGTGCACAAACCGCTGGACCGGTTCAGCAACCTGCAGGATAGCCTGACCAAATTGATGGAGGGTAGGTCCCAGCCCCCCAACCTTCCTCCGTCCTTCATGCTGTTGCCACAGCGATGAGCATATCTCATTGTTGCATTTCATTCCTTCGGAGCATTTCTGCACCAGTGTGATACACCTCTTGTTATGTGGATGTTTTATCCTTATTTTCGAGCATTACATACCCATAATCTTTCCTGATTTCTTTGGTTCCTTTTCTTCTTCATGGTGCACTCAGTCTCCATGGTAATTTTTCGTTCCCATCATGCTCCAGAGGCATTTTTACACCACGGTTTATCTCACAACTAGAATGGGAAATCTTTGAGACACTTGATGGCAGCAAACAAACCGGTTCCATGTGACTGGTCCACTGTCATTTGTGTAGTATTGAGCATGCATGTGTGAGCTCAAATGTGATGCTAACACTGGAAGTCTCCCATTAGACGCCCTCACTGCAATGATACTGCAGCCTTGCACAGGTTGTACCCACGCTTAATGCCTCCTCAACCAAAAAGGTGTTGTGACTCCTTAAATGCAAGTTTAAGATTTGGCCTGCAAGTGTGGTGCTCTCCCCACAGTAACGACGTCCCGTTAGCAGTCTGAACATGTACCAATTTGTGGAGATGAATTAGTGGCTATCCTCTCTCTTCACCATTTGCAATATTTCAGTCTAGAGGCAGCCTGTGTATGGTCCACCTTTCGGTAGGTTGAAGACCCAACGTACACATGTAGGCTGCACTTGCATGAGGCTTTGAATATTGGCAAGGTGCTGGCAAACACCTATCCTTAATGAAGCTGTTTTCAATGTGAAAACAAAGTTTCCTCAAAGCAGAACCATTGGTAGAAGTTGTATTGTATGGATGGTTTCTCAACTGGATTTAAGTTTCACTTACATGTAAAGTATATTTGAAGATACGATGGAATCTGATCATTAAATGTTAAGTGAATTTTGAGTCAGACATTTTGGAAACATTAGCCAAAGCCACCAGCAGATTTCTGCATTTGTTGCAAACATTCAACAACATCAGTGGAGCACAGTCTCATGAGTGCAAACATCGCCAGCGTTGGTAAATTATAGCATTGTTTACATATTAGAAGTGGTGCTACATGTAGGTGCCCACAATCAAGCACTATAAACTTAATTTTTTAAAATGTACTTCAAATGTACTTCATTCAAATCTGCTTGCGTGTAGAACCCACATTAAAGACCAACTTCAAGTTTTCTCATATTGAATCTTATTCAGAAGAGCCAAGTCTAATAAAAGTGGCATGTATCAATGTCGCCCGTGCAATACACATTTTTGTGTTGATAAAACAGTTTTATACCAATTTTTCCTGCAAGTCCAGTCCGGTATTGTAAAAATGGACCTGTTGCCACAACTCATTAGCATCTAATGAATATTGATTTTTGTGATGTATTACTGTGGAGAGGAAATACCACAGTGTGTGCACATAGGCATGCATAGCATGCGTAGCCACGGACGACAGCATGAACTTTAAGAATGTTCTCATTCCTTGGAAATTCAAATTTCAGTTCCAGGTCTTTTACAAAATCTATACATCTACCCATTATGTGTAATTTCAGCATTATTGTAAATCATGAAGAAAGGAGCACAAACTCTCGACTTAAAAGAGATACTCTTAATACAGCACAGTAGACCCGGCCCAAAGATCGGTACGCAGTGCATGCACATGTACATGTACTGTATGTTTGTAGCGAACCAGTCATCCGATGGATACCAGTTTCAGTGTTTTCTCCAGTATTATATCATACAAATTTTGTTTCTCAACAGCACTGCCAGTGGACAGATTGTGAAAAATTTTTGTAAAACTCTAAGACAACGTTCAAAAGTTTCGGCAAAATTACAAAAAAAACAGACGCATTACAGACATGATTTGGTAATAAATATATTAGATTTATTAAACACTAAACACAGTCATAGTTAATTTTCAAAACTTTTAAAACTGTTGGAGTTGGTCTTTAATACTGTTCAAATAGATTGGTGAATAATCGTCAATTAGTATCAAAAAACCGCACTCATTAGGTTAATATTAGCACGCTGAAATGCCTCCAGTGTCAGAAAGTCCTCTGCAAAATTACTCTCATGACATTTTATTCCCACAATGAGCCAGGTCTCTGCCTTCATAAAGTGTGTGGGCTCGCTTTTCATATACACCTGTGCAAACATCAGCATTGAGTATCATTACTGCTTGCAAATATTGGCTGTGCTGGCCAAAACTTTTAAAGGGATAATAGACATATTTACTAAAATCCTTGAAATTGCAAGTGTTTGTTTCAGTAAAGCTTATTTTCAATTTTTTTTTGGCTATTTTAATCTGTATATTGGGCCTCTCTGGTTTTTAAGGTAATGTGAATTTGCATATTCATGGCCAAACTGTGATGTAATCAAGGCACTGAACCTCAATCTTATATTGATTTGTGCACAGAAAATTGATAGATTTTTTATATTTTGCCATCAAAAACTTCCATTTCCTTTGGCAATTTATTGTTGTATAAGTACCGGTATATGGCAATGAGTCAGCAAGCAACCTTTTATCACAAATGTTTTCAAAGAGCAAATTAGGGGTTCAAATTTGAACATGAAAACTTGCAAACTGAACATGTCTTTCTTGGTTTACCGGTACTTCACACAAACAGTGCCCTCACTTGTCAGGAAAATCTTGGTCGATATTGAATGTTCAAAAGAAAGTTTTCTTTACAGTTCGCTTAACCATTTCTTGCTGGGTGCTTTTGAAAATGCAGTGCCCACATACGGGTGATATTTCAATATCTTCAGTCATCAAAAATCTTTAAAATTCTTATCTTTTTTCCTGAATACCTAAACCCAGTGGAGTGACTGTCTGGTGGCTACTATAATCCGACAGGCAACATCTATTGATGCCAGAGTATTTCAGCACAGTGCACCGCTGGCTTCTTTTCAATACGGGCCAGATTAGCATGCAGCTGTATTGTATCGCTCATCACTGGATTGCTGGAGCACTTTTGTCCCTGGTGGTAATCCACTCGCGCTGAATGCCACAAACAGTGGTATAATCTTTCAAAACAATGACAGATTTCCTCCGCTATTGACAACTGAAACAATGATGGCAATTCCCAGTAGCTCTGTCTTTTGTTGAGTATGGTCTTTTGTTGCAAGAACCACAGCTCTTTTGTTCAATTTCAGGCACCCTGGTACAAACCCAAGGTACCCGAAACCAGGCTGCCCGGCAGGATATGGTTAACTCCAAAATGATTTCAAATGCTTTTTACGCATTATTTCAAAGAAAAATTGATTGCATTTTTCCTTTAAGAAGTGCGCCTTGGTGCCTTGGATCAGGCTATGAGCATTCTAATCATCTTTGATAAGGAGGATCAGTGCCTTAAAAATAGCTACGTGTATGTATGATTTCATTAACCTCACTTAAATATTCCCCAAAAATTGAAGTTTGATTCAATCCACCTAAGGGCTTTGTTTCATGTTGTTTTGGTCACATGCACTTTGGCTCTTGTGTTGAGCAGTGTTAGTGGGAAAGGTCAAACTTTGTTTGGCCATAATGGGCATTTGGTGAGAATGATATGTCAAATAATAATACGAAAGGAGTCAAAATGACTACAAGACAGCAGCCGAGAAATTCCTGAAGGCTCCGCACAATAAAGAAATTCACTGTGCTAATATTGGAGAAAATTTACATCAATGGAGGATGTCACCCCAGCTGTCATAGGGTCACTCAGCTCACTAGTCTTATTCCATCTCTTGACAGCGTGTAATAAGAACACCAACTCCATGGATAAGTGGCTGGGTCATCTAGGTGCATCCAGTTGGCTGAGCAACGTCAAGGAAGTCTTGACTACAGCGTGTCTGGTGGCGCAGTGTGTGGACAGAGAGAGTAAGGCCAGCCTGTTTTTCCTCCTTTTGTTTTTGAAAGCAGTAACAACAGAGCAAGGGTTTGTGTATTTTAAGGCTGTTACTATAATGATTCGGCTGTAGTCAAGTCCATTGTAAGTTTGTGACAAGCATAGAGCTACATGTATGTTGAATTACTTCAGCACTAACTTGCTGTACAAAGTGATGCCCTCTGGGTGTGTCCATTTTGTACACAAACCTATGAAATGCTCTAAATTTTGTACGGCTTTTGAACAGCCATTTGCATATAATGAATCCCTGTCAGTTTTCTAAATTTCTACATTAAAGGCAGTATGCCAAATACCAAAAATATGCATACGATATATGAGCATTTGGTTCTTTCTGTGTAAGCAATGCAGACACATGCAAATTAATTTTACTGAGGCCTTTTCACACATTGACTGCTATGCAGTGCATATTTTTGAAGGGGCATTCCAGTTTGTCTAGTGTACTCGTGCGTGCATATTTAATAGGTACATGTACTGTACCTTTCAGGTGTCCGGGTGAACATGAGCATGTCACGGATGTACACCTTCCACACTGCCATCAGCGTATTGGTTGTGTTCTTTGGTTATGCCAGTGTATCAATTCACATTACAATAGACTTTCATTTTGAGTAGACTCGCCATTAGGCATGTTTGTAGTATACATGTACTCACAGTGGCATAATCCGGTACGCCTGTGACTACTGCTATATTGGTAGTCAGCAGTCAATTTGTTAATGCCTAATAATGCAGACAATATGCTTGCATGTTATTTGAGTATATTATGCTTACCGGTATGCGTTACATTTTTAGTACTTTAGACGGAATTTGTTATCTTATTCTGTTATGCGCCACAACGTACATTTATACATATTCAAAATGTCCGCACCTGGGACAGCTTCAAAATTTCTCCACAGAGGAATGAGGAGAAGGCACTCTAGTCATTTATTATATCTCTCTGGTCACAAGACATACATTCTTAAGGCAAGTCACAAAGCTGTTCAAATGAACTGTGACAAAAGTCAAAACGAATTCCTCTGTCATTGCTCATCCAGTGTGCTTGTACTTGTGACTAGGCTTGTGAAAGAACCTGGGACTTA